CGATGCACTCACAATAAAAAGAGTCGACGAGAAATGAACAAAGAAGTCTTCAACCCCTAAACGCTAAACGCTAAACCCTTCTCGCCTCCACCCTCAGCGGAAAGCAGTGGGAGCATCTGCACGTTTCAGGCCACCGCAAGCAGGCCGAGTCTCAAGGCTATTCCCATTATTGTTATAATTACTATCGTTACTATTATTATTACTGTTAATAATAATAATGATTCTTTGTTCAATGTTAAGTGTTCCATTTTCATGTATTTCGTGCTCAGACGCCAAAGTGAGCTGTCGACTCGATAATTGCGGGGAAATTGTACTGTAAGAGCTGCCTGCAAAAACAAAAAATAAAATGGAAAAGAATCAAAGCATTGCGGTTTTATGGTTTAGTGTTTAGGGTTCTAGGGTTCTGGGCAACGAGCTGTTGCTGTGGGCACTCGCCACCAGGTTCTGTTTGCTGCTGTTTGTGGCGTCCCTGCCGCAGATAAAGCCCGCTGGCTCGATCAAAGTGCTGCATGTTGCCGCTCCTTCTGCTGCTGTGCTGCTGTTCCTTTCCCCCGGAGCAGCAGCAAGAAGGGAAGTGGAGAAGCATACACCACCCGCCTTCCTGCAGTAATTTTCGCAGCTCGGGCTGTCCCCTGTGCTGTTGCTCTCGTCCACGAGATGCAAATCAACAGCACCGTCGTCTCTTCCATAAACTCTATGAGCCATTCCCTGCTGCTGCTGATTGTCCTGCGATGGGTGCGGGAGTGAAGCAGCAGTCACGCGAGCTGCTGCTGTTCTCGCTGCTGTTGCCTTGCAGCTGCATCTGGTGGGGCTCCTGCTGCTGCTATTGCTTTAGTGCCTGTCACTGCTATGGCAGCGTCCGTGCTGCTGCTGCTACTGCTGCTACTGCTGCTGCTGCTGCTTTTGCGACGGGCGGCGTTCCTGTTGGTATTTCGCGATGGTCGTGTTCTACGGTCTAGCGTGTCACATCTGTTTCGCGTATTGTTTGTGCTGCCTGCTACTGCTGCTGTTACTACTACTACTACTACTGTTGCTGCTGCTGCTGCTGCTGCTGCTCCTGCAGCTTCGCGCGTAATGTTGCGCTCTCGCGACGTGACCTTTCACGTTGTGCAGCTGTGCGGGCTTTGTGGCTCAGAACAACTGCCTTAGGCATGCTGGCTAGCTATTTGGGCCTCCTGCGTGCAGCAGCAAAGCGCGTCGGCTGCACAAGCCGCAGTGTCCTGGGGAGAGGTCCCCCCGGGGCCTTTCCCCAGCGACACCCTGCGGTGCCCCCCTGGGATCCCCACAGGGTGGCCCCAAGGGTGGCACCCCTCGTGGCTGCGGTGGGCCCGCGGCCCCTCCTCATCCCTCGCAGGCTCTTCCAGAAGCATAGCTAACTCTGTGCAACGCAGGGGCTCCCAGAGGGGAAGCAAAACAAAGCCGACTCAATTTAATTTGCACACAAGCCCTCGGCTGGGCTGCCCTTCTTTGGGGGGGAGTGGTTTCTGATGCTCCGCAGCAGAAGATAGGGGCCCGAGTTGCTAATGCGAGGCAGAAGAGGTCCCTGCAGCTGCAGCAGCAGCAGTAGCACGCAGCAGCTGGCGCTGCTGCCGGCGGCGCCCTCAAATGCTAACCACTGCTGGGGCTTCTGCTGCGTCGCTACACCGCAGCGCAGGTTTTAGCAGCTGTTTGAACTGCGGTAGCAGCAGCAACGGCAGCACCAAGGGGAGCGGGGACAGCAGCAGCAGCAGCAACTTGTACACGGAAGCCGACCGCAACAGAGACAGCAG